TCAACAAGTCATTCGAATATACCTAAAGTTACATTATGAAATATTGGTTTTGTGATTCAATATTCTTTTAACAGGCTTCGTTTAAAATATCAACAAAAATATAGATATATATATATATACGTATGGACTACAGTTAAAAGTGGCCAAGAGCCAGTATAGATTCAGATTCCACATAGACGCGCCTACAATCCTCACTCGAATGCTACGGCTCATATGCAATCAAATCGCTGGCCAATGTTATTGGCACGGGCGTTGACAAATCTCGACTTTCGCCGTTGAGCAAATAGACAGGTACATTACTGGACGCCACTTCAATCTCGTGTGCGGCTATTACACTGCTCGGCTCCAGCTCGGGAGTGGGCATACGCACTTGCATAGCACTGGGCTTCACGGTTGCATCCTCCTCGCTGCACGATTCCCCATTGTTGGCCAACGTTACATAGGCGGCAATGCAGTCTGGCACAGGTGACGATGAAGCAGCGTTAGTGGGTGAAGAGGCAGGAACATCAGGAACAGAAGTAGCAACGGGAGTAGTATTACAATCAGTGGGAGTATCAATATTAGCAATGTCAGCAGTGTGAGCACAATCAGCAGTATCCGCAGTAGCAGTATTATCAGCAGTAGCAGTATTATCAGCAGTATCCGTAGTAACAGTATTACCTGCATCACCAACCGGAGCTGGACCGTCAGCATCGCTCAAAATCTCCTGCTGAGACAGTTTCTTCTTTTTATTAAGGTTCTTTATCCTTGACCAACAATGCTGCTTTCGCCGACGACGCTTGCCTAGCTTTCGCTGCTTGGGCTGATCCAATTCCTTCTAAAAGAAGAAGCAAAAAACTTCAGTATATGTAAATGTAAATGTAATGAGCTATGATGTGCACCTACGTTAATACTGTCCTCAATGTTGCTGCGTGACTTTTCCAAATTGTCAATATGGACACGCTTCAGTCTTACAATAGGCATAAGCAGCGCCGTAGTCGCTGTCGTTGCTGCCGTCTTTGCTTTCGTCTCCACCGCAAAGTTTTTTATTACATCCAGATCTCTTTCTAGCTTATCTATATCATTACGTAACTTCATATTTGCTGCATACAATTGCTTTTTGACCTTAAGGTCTGACACCGATTGAGATTTTATTGTAGCATTCAGTTGCCGCTTCTCGTCCATTCTTTTACGTTGCAGTTGCAGCAGACTCTTGTAGAACTCCACGTGCTCCTTGGAATTGTCTGAGAACTTACGTCGGTCAAATTTGAACTTTTTGGCCAAGGCCTGCACCTCAACGTCTATGGAGTTCTGTATGCTATCAAAGGACTTTCGATGACGAGATGTCTCAATTGAGCTGTGCGTGGAGGCGGGCGGAGTGGGCAATGCACGCTGTGAGCCTCGAGGCGGCAGCCTCTTTGGTTGCGGCGTCGGCGTGCCACTGGAAGCATTGCTCGTAGTGGGCGTTAGCTGACTCGTGGGCGTGGGCGTAGGTGTGGGCGTGATAGCGGCTGGCGAGCGTGACTGCTGACCTTGGCGACCTTGGTCACGTCGATTGCAGGAAGACAACGATTCATTAGTCCGTTTATCACAGTTTTTCTTCGATTCCAGTTTGCTAAACATTCGCTGGCCGGCAAGTAAATGTTCTAAAACAGGGGAAAATCAAATTATTACAATCGATATATATATAACAGGTGTAGGATAGTATTACCTTTACGCCCCATCCACTTTAGAGATTCGATAAAGTCCATATTTGAACTGGGTTTCGTCAGATGCGTTAGTGATGTATAATTTGTTTTGTTATAACGCTTAATAGACGGCTTAATATTTTTGAGGGATTTGGTTAACTGGACTTTCTTCGAGGAGACCAAAGGTTGTGTACTAAATGTAACCTGTTTCTTTTGCAAAGAGGCTTCGCTACTATAACTATTACGACTAGATGATTGATGGCAGTGATGATTGTCATTGGGTTTAAATTTCGTATCAGCCCCCGGAGTGGTCTTCCTGCGACTGAACGACGCTTCGTAGAGCAGCTCGGTGGTTGTGGGACTGGCTGATTGGCCTGTGTCCGAATAGAGCATGCAGCTGGATATGGCATTATCATTGAAATGCAGCTGCTGCTGTTCCTCTAGCTCCAACAGTTGTTGTTGGTTTCGTTCCTCCTCATCTTGCTCAGCGGTTTGCACACACTGATCCACAAGATGTGGCGGTGTCTGCGTTGTGGATACCAGATGCAGGCTGTCCCTTCGGCAACTGTAGCTATTGACTATGCGCGGCATTGTATAGGTGGCAGCAGCGGCAGCAGGAGAACCAGGGGCAGCAGGAGAAGCGGAGGCAGCAGATACTGTTGCGCCACCACTGGTGGCACGCTGATATGTGCGCAAATTAATGGGATAGATGCGAGTTATGGGCACATAGTCGTCATCGCCCACTCCAGTCGCCTCGTTCGAGTTAGAAGAGCCACTGCCATCCACATTCGCGGGCACACTGAAGTCAAGTGAGAACATTTCCTCCTCCTCGTCCGATTCACACAGATCCACAACTTCGCACGTGCTGTCAATGCCTCGATACAAGGCCGTGGCACGTTTTACAGGCTCCAAGCGACTGGCATTGCGGCACAAGCGCTTGAGGAAGTCGGGCGGATCAGGAGCTGGTGGTGGCGGTGGTTCTTGCTGCGTTGCACTCGACGATAAGAACAAAGTGCTGATCAATACCAAACCAGATTCAGAATCTGTGTCCTCTTCATCCGAGTCAAGGATCTGATGGCAAAAATAAAATGAATAAATAGCAATTCTATAATTCTGCTTTTGTAAATCTAGTCAAAGCTTTTATATATTTTACTCAGCTAAATGTTGAAGTCATTTTATGAGCAGCAGAGACACGTTCGCCTGCACACAAACCGCGACTAACTGCGTCGGTGCAGGACAAGACGTGAACCGTCTGCCCAACTCAGACCTTTTACTAAAACATCATTGTGGACAAAGTGAAGGAAAAGGGAGCGATCTTATTCTAGTAGCTGACTTACTAATTCGCTGGGCTGAATCATTCGATTGTCCATTTTGCTTGCTGAATGCAATCCTCGGCAGCACTGTTTAAGGCTGAGATATTCCAAAATGCACCGCGTGGCCGTGTTGGGTGTATTGTATTTAGGCAGATGCTCTATGTAGGCGGGATTGTAGGGCAGCGTGCGAGCAGGTCGCATAAACTTGATCGCAAACTCAAAGATGCGCTGCTTGGTCGACTCATTACGCTCCAGTCGTTGCCAATAATAAAATATAATAATATATTGAATGTATATCTTATCGGGCATCTCGACCTGACTGAACAGGCCAGTTGTTGAGGACCATTCCGGAAAAAGGCGGCTTAAATAAAGATGTATGCAATAATAAATTATACTCTTGATAACGCGTTTTATTCCGCTACCAACCTGTAGAAGACCGTGATTATGTTGGCCTGGCCATACAGCTTAGGTATGGCGATTAGCGTGCGCAGCGTGTTCTCCTTGTGCAGAGCGGAGCTCTCTTCATTGGCCTCGACATACAGACTGAGCATGCTGCCAATTCTCTCAATGATGCACTGATCCTTCTCGATGCGATCCTGTGCAGCGCACAGCTCACAGGCAATATAATTGGCCACAATGTAGCACCAGCGATCACGACTCAGGTTCCAGCTGCTGGTGGCCGACAGGCGCTGGCCGAGTAGAGTGTGTATCAGGTCCGAGAGGCCGATTATGCTGCGCGCCAATTTGCGACATATTGTGGGCGAGTTCTGCGCGTACTCCAGCTCCTCTCGTATGGCACTTTTGATTGAGCGGGTAAAATAAGATCAGAGAGGGAGGGGCTATTTTAACATATGAATCAGCTCTTACCTCTCGAACTGTCTGAGTAGTCGATTCATAACATTGTTGAAGCTGTCATCATGAATGGCGGCTATCGCTCTATAAATATAGCGGCGCGTCTCAGTCAGGTGCACGAATTCCGGCACCGCAGCCGTCGACGATGTTGACGCTGCGCCACTGACGCCAACAGCGGCAGCGGCAGCGGTCGGAACTGTGCTGTTTTCATCAACATTCATGCAGTTGGTTCGTGTCGTGCTCATCATTCTACAATGCAAGAGAAGGTCGCAAATCAACAAATTTTTGCATTGTTTGAAGAGAAAGTCCCGTTAGCCCGACTGGCCCTACATGCATATGCTCATATGAATGTGCGCACATACACACACGCTCAGCACAGCACGCACACACGTACACGTACCGCAGAAATGTTAACTGTAATGAAAAAGCGGCGCGCACACTTCTCGCACGCTACACTCCAAATATCGCGGGTGCCCACAGTCCAGTTACGAGTTCACAAGGCATTTGCTTTATATTCAACATGTTTTACTCAACTTTCTGCACGAGCATTGTAATTTATATGCTTTGCAGACTATTTGTGTTTTAGAATGTTGACTGCTAAAATACACACGAAAATGCATTTAATCGGTCACACTTGGCCTCAAAATAATTCAGTGTGACTGTATAGTGGAAGCGTCAAATTACCAAATATGGCGCAACATTCCAATGTTACAGTGCTGCAAAACGTAAACAGAATAGCGCGCAATTTGAATCATACAAAAAAGAATTTATTATTTGTTTCTAAATATACATACATTCAAAACATTTAATACCAATTATAAGATTTGTTATTTGTATTTTACATGCCTCCACATAAAATTTGCTACTGAAATTCATTTAAATGGAAATTAATGAAATATTACATATTAACATATTAAATAAAACGCAAGCTGCTTTTTTTTGTTTTTAATGTTGTTACCAACTTTTTTTATTAAGTCCATAATCAGTTCTTTCTCAAATGATTCTACAAATTCCAAATAGAAAACTTAGAAGAGTACATATTTAAAATTTATAGATTTGATTTCTCGGATACCACATCTTCAATAAACCTGAATTCTAAGCTAGAGACATATCAAATGCCAAATGCTACACGTTTCCATTCATGAATATCGCGGTTGCAAATCACAAATTAATTTAAGTTATATATTTTTATGCAATCAAAATGGGACTTAAAAAGTGCCACGGCCAGGATTTGGGGACAATGATAAAAACTCATTGGAATTGGATCCACGACCGAAGACAAGAATAAACTACAGAATGTACGTTGCTATTTGTTATTTTGTTGTGTTTTGTTTATGTGTGTGTGTGTGCATGCTGTGGTTTTTGTTGGATTATTTGCATTGCTCCTCTTGTTGTTGGTTTACAACTCGTCCTTCTTGGGCGCCGCCTCCTCTTCCTCTTCGCTCTCCTCGGTGGGTTCGGCATCAGCCACCTCGCCGTTGGCGTCTAGGAACTTGACGAAATCATCCAAAGTCCTGTCCAGATTGTAGTCGATGACTTTGTTGTCATCCTTGCGGAAGTATTTGATTGTTGGGAAGGATGAGATCTTGATGTTCTCCAGCTCGTTGGCAGTGGAGTCCATTTTGGCAATGACAATGTCGGCATTATCCTTGTACTTCTCGGCCAGCTGTTCGTAGATGGGAGCCAGCTGCTTGCAGTGACCGCACCATGGAGCATAGAACTCAACCAGAACGGACTTGCTCTTGTCCAAGGCGACGCTCTCGAAGTTGCTAGACACGAGAACCTTGACGGGTTGCTTGTCCCAATCCTCGGGCAGCTCCTGTGAGAGCAAATGCTGCTTCAGTTTGCCGTCGAGGAACTTCTGCAGGAATGCTTCAATGGATTCGACCGACAGATCATTCGTTTCAGGCTTGTATTTGGCCATATCCTCCTCCAACTTGATCAAACGGATGGTTGGCACTTCCTCCTTGTTCATTCCGAAGAACTCAAAGATGCGAGTGTGATCCTCCTCATCGGACGAGATGGTGACGAACAGAATATCTTCACGGTACTTCTTGGCAATCTCCTTCAGTGGGTCAACATGGGCCTCAATGTGGCCAGCCTCCTTGGAAACAAAGAACAACAGATGCGACTTGATGGAGCCGCCGAAGATCTTGGCAGCTGACTCATGGTTGAAGTCAACAATCAAAGGCAGAGATTGCACCTGAGCGAATTTCTTGAGGTTTTCCTCATTCAGCTCTCCCTCGAACACGGATTTCTTCTCATCGAATGGCTTGAAGAGAATGACACCATTGTCCTTAGCCTCGTATTTGGCAATAACATCGGCATTGCTGGTGATACCAAAGACGAACGAATCCAATGCGTTGGCAGCCTTGGTGAAGACCTTGGCCTCAGCCGATTCAACATCCTTGAAGAAGCCAATAATGGCGATCTCATTGTCCTGAAGGAACTGCTCGGCATCAGCCACGCTGGTCAAGTCCTTGGCTGGTGGGCCAGTTTTCTTGGTCACCCAGGCAATAATGTCCGCGGCCTGACGTCCACCATTGTAATCCACGGGCGAGCCGCTGCGGAAGAACTTCAGCGTGGGATAGCCACGCACCTGATACTGCTCGGCCAAGTCACCCTCAACGGTTGCATCAACCTTAGCCAGCTTAATGGGCGATTCCTTCTCGGCCAACTGTTGGGCAGCCTTGGCATACTCGGGCGCCAGAGCCTTGCAGTGTCCACACCATGGTGCATCTAAAACGAAGAAGATGAAGGTTAAAATTCGATATATATGATTTGAAAATGAATAATTTATGAAATATAATTGAGTCTATCGCAGCGTATCACATTAATTTAGTTTATTGGAAAATTTCAAATTTAATGAATAAATTTCAATAGTTGCTCTTATCAAAGGCTCTAACAATCAGTTTTATTATTATAAACAGATTATATCTGTATATTTTATATTGTTCTCCATTTATACGATTCATTCGCTTGGAAAATCAAATTGTCGCGTAGGCGTAGGAGTGGGCGTGGCATTCAACTATTTTACGCTACATTTAACATGGTACAGCAGCTGTTGGAAATTATGCAAATTCCACGTGTTGAATTCTGAAGAGCTGTAAGGTGCATACAGGCGAGAGCGAGAGCGCACGAAGTTGAGAGAGGCGAGGCAAGAAGAAAGACATAGACACAATGACATAACGTCTGCGTGTTGTTGATGCTAACTGCACTCTTATCGATGGCTTAAGCTGACGTGGCCTTGGTATATAGTCAAGAGAATGATAAGATTCGCAAGGTGAATCGCGAAGAGCATTATCTGATCGAAGCCAAGTAACGGCACTCGGCTCTGTTGCTGACGTTGACATATTGCCAAATTGGCGAATAGTGAAACGTAGCGTAAATAGCTGAACTGCTGGCATATGCAAACCACAGGCACAGGGATAGCCGCTGTCGCTGCCACAGCCACGGCCGCTACATTGACGCACTGTTTGGGCACGCGCTTTACGACAAAAACAGACAACAAAACACAAACAAAGAGTGTAACGAAAACTGAGAGCGAATTAATACAAAGCGAAAGAGTTGAATGAACTTCGGCTGCTGCGCAAGCGCGAGCGCATTAAGCGTTGCGTACGGTGTTAAAAAGGGCAAAGCAGAGTAGAAAGCAGCGCACAAAAGAGAGACGGACAACATTCTTAAGAGCTATTTAGCTAACCCAGTTCCAAAGCGACAGTTGCTTGGCAACTTTTTTGTTCTAAAACGAAATTGATGAAACGGATGTAAGCAAGCAAGTTGCGAGTAGGCGACTATAGGCTATAGCTATTGCCACGCCCGGGACGAAGCGAAAGCAATGCAATACGACACGCCGTATTGATAAAAGTGAGAAATATGAAAATAGAAACTGCTGAGGGGCTTATCTCGCTGTGAGGACGCCGCGCGGCCTGAAAGAAATAACGATAAGAGCAGGAACGCAACAACTACTTTGACTGCCAAATGCCAACAATGCTGACCCTCTTAGGAAATGTGTCGAAGAATTATCTTCAACGATTTTGATGACGCGCTACTTTTGCTTTGCTTAGCACTTTAACATTTAACTTAGGCGCAACAAATGCCAGCACAGTTGTCTGCTCTCGCTTTCTCACAGGTGGAAGCCCAGTGTGCGCAACAGAGATGGTCATATACAAAGAGAGAAATTGACGCTGAACAGAGAGCCAGAGAGTGACAGGGAGAGAGGAGCTGGGCGCAAGACATATCCGCAAAATCTTATCGATATGCGATATACGATAATGGATAAAAACAAAAAAAAAACTATAGACAAATAAATTTTTTCTCTCAACTAAGACTTCTGTTCTCTTCCCGCCTTCACAAGCCACAGGAAGCTTGACGACTAGCAACAACAATGTGACTGCTGGCTAAACTGCCACGCAGACATATTTTGCTTAGAGCATCATACTGCTGGCTGGCTGAGAAAAGACCACGTAGCCTCTTGCCGATTTTCATGAATCATCTACAATAGCGGTAGCGATTAAGCGGCCGGCACTGCACCTTTTTATTTATGTTATGTTAATAGCGTTGCAAATAAGAATACTCACAGAATTCGACGAGCACAAATTCATTGTCGGTAATCACTTGTTTGAAATTGTCTACCGTTGCTACAATGACACCTTCCTCCAATTTAATATCAGCGGCCGCCACGTAGGACGCCGCGAGCAATGCACAGATTAGGAATTTCATCGCGGGCACTTAATATTTAGTATATATAAATGCTTATATGTAGGCAGATGTATATCACACAGACACACACTATCGCAACTCCAAAGACAAAAAACTACTACCGCACAAGTTGCAAGCTAAAATCCAAATGAAATCGTCTACGTCCAAGCGACAGAACATTGGCTCCATATATACATATATCGAGCTGTTCGATTACATGAATCACTGGACAAAAAGAACGACTGTTTCAGCTAGTTCATTTATGTTATATTGCTTGTTGACTTAACATTATGCGCCACTGTTAACAATAAATTCAAGTTTGAATTCAATACTTCCTTTTATTGTAGGCAAAATTGCATTTAACAAAGAATAATAATAGTAATAATAATAACAAAATAATGATAATCTTGAACTTGTTGATTTACATTTGCTGTTTATTATTTAATCCGTTACTCTCATATAATACAATTACACGGATGTTACTCCGAAAACTGTTTAAACAGAACTGAATGTTTTTAGTTAGCCCAGCTGGTAGTTTTATTTGCTTGAAACTTATTTTTAGATAAAAACATTTGCGCGTACCGCATTTAAGAATCCTCATAATAATCAATGTTGTATACAATTATATAATACATACGCTATCTGCGTAAAAATTTTCGAACTTAAATAACTCACTGGCGTTCAAAAGGTGAAATCTGCTGAATACATTGCTCAATTATTCTGTAGAGAATATCAGCTGTCTGACTCGTACTAAAAGGTTTATCAATGGGCGGCACATGCACGAACAAGCATTTATTGCAATCCATGTCCAAGGATTTGAGATAAATGTAACCGCATAGAAAGCTGCCAACATTCTTCGATGCTATAGTGGCATTTTGAGGCTTATCGCTATCAGCTGCAGCCACACAATTTTTGCAAATGGTATTTACAACCTTCACTATCATATCTACGTCAAGTCCACAACGCAATACATTTGCCTTTCCATGCTGGGGTAAACTGCAGGTGTTATTCTCTAGAAATTTGCCTGCATTATCGGGACGTCGAAATTGATGATTGTATGCGAGCTTTTCCACATGCACGCATTTGGCCACACCGGAGACGCCGACATGCACGACAAGCTGTGTGTAAATATGGATATGATGATGATGTCAGTACCACGCAATTCAACGTGATATACTATTTATTGCTTGCCTCTGGTTGGCTTTGCCAAATTTCTTCAACTGCCTGATCAACAGCTCCGTACTCTACGGGCACCATTCGTTGCTCCAGCACATAGTCGACGCCATTACAGCTAATACTTTCGGGCAGCAGTTGCACAGCCTCCCAACTGGCATTAATTTCCTCATGACCCACAAATGGCCCAAATCCAGTGACTACAATTCGTTTACGCTCCGTTGACGACATTGTAAACACTGCCGCCCACTACAATGGAGCGCATTAATCAAACACACACACACACACACACATGTAAATATATATTTTAGTGTTAGAAAATATAGCAAATAAAGTAGAGTACGCTGATAATATAAGACGCTTCAGCAAATCTATTAATATAAATAAAATAAATTTACAATATTGGGACTTCTTCTTGTCCATTTTGAATAAATCTTCAATTTGAATGTAATTCTTGAATAGCTGTGTAATTTTGCCAAGGACCATCCGGTACGTTTCATTCAAATTATCCAATGTAATAAAGATAATAAGCCAAGCTTAAAAATATTCTGGCTAAACCATGCTGTTTATTTTTGAAAACCAAAAGGGCTTACACTTAACTTAAAATTTAGATGATAAAAATTAATTTCCCATTCATAACCAACTAAATCATTTTGATTAACAGTGTCTAAAGGGCGAACGAACAGCTGATTTAGGATAGTAGTGCTGGGAAACGCCGCATGGATAATAGCCCTGGAGTAATAAACGTATGCCAGCCCTGTTTGGGCGCTAATACACAAAGAATTTGCAGACAAGTGTTTTACTGTTTCAATAAATGTTAAAGAAATATTACATTAGTGCAAAAGAAATAATAAATCCAAGTATGCTGACCTAAATAGAGAAAATTTAGTAAAAACACATATAAACAAAACATTCCACGCGTGCAAACTGCACAACATATTACAAACCAGCAAACGGGGCCAACCACGAATTAAGAAGTGATCAAAACCGAAATCAATAAATAATTGCGATTTCATAGAACAAATACACGGCACAGAGGTGCCCCCAATATACAACGCAAACCATTTGTAAGCATTTCGTCGGTATTAGCCTAATCTAATCTATTCGGACCAAAGTCGCCGACGTGGTAGACTCAAACTCGCATATTTGAACTTTGCACATTAAGAATTAATAGAATTTTTCTATTGCAGAGGCGGAGGCAAGGGCAGCAGCTGTCGATATTCCCAACCAAACTTTAAAGCTCTCACACGAGGGAAGGAACTCATAATAATGTTGTCGCGCCTGCAAGACTTTCTGTCACGCCACCGACGTAAATTTATTGTAACTGGTGCGCTGGTGGGTGGCACCATCTATGCAGCGCGCTATGCGCAGCGCAAGCTAGTGGAATACCAGGAGAAGCAGGCGAGAGAATTCTTTGAACGTACACGGCGAATGCACCACTTTGAGTCAACGGAACGCACCTGCAACCAGGTGATTCTGGGAATGGGAGAGGAGATGTGCCAAGCAGTGTTACACGAGTGCAGCACAGACGAGCTACTAGAACAGCTCCGCCAGAATCCACCCAATAAACTGGAGCTGTGGGAGCAAATGAAAATCGTCGCGTTCACGCGTCTGGCCACCTTTGTCTATGCCTCCTCCATGCTGGTGATTGCGCTGCGAGTGCAGCTCAACCTGCTCGGTGGCTATATCTACCGTGACATCATGACAGAGCAGCGGCAAATAACGGACGAACTGAAGCAGCAATATTTATCTCTTATCCGCCATTTCATCACACACGATGGCATACGAGATTTGGCTCGATTTATACGTAGCCAGGTTGTGGAGGTGTTGAAGTCGATGCCGCTCTCTCGTCAACTGACGCTGGCCGATACGGAGCAGCTTTTCTGGTCCCTGCAAATGGCCATCAATGGTGACACACGGCACGATCCCAACTCGAAGATGAGTAAATACCTGTTGCCAGACCTAACCCGCCTGCAAGAGAGATTCAATTGCTCTCCGCTGCTGCAGCAGATGTATAACGAGACGCTAGATCTGCTCGAGAGCGAGGATTGCATTGGTGTCTGCGCGCACAATGTGAGTCGCGGCTTTGTGCTCAGCTGTGATGCCATTGCCGAGTCGATGGGCGAAACTCTGCAGCATTTGGCGCCCGGCGAGCTGCAACAGCAAGAGTCCCTGAATGGTCAATCCAAGCAGAGCAACAACAACAATCTGTTTGACGTAAACAAGGTGCTGCTGGCCCTGGCCAAGCTGATACCCATCATCAGTGGACTCACTTCGCATGGATATGATAGCGCTGCCCGGCCACATAATCTGCCGACGCAGCTGCTCAGCTTCTATGTAGTGTCCGAGAAATCGAAGATGGTGGGCGCCAATGTTTACGAGTCCTTCAGCTCTGGTTAACCGACAGTCAGACTAAATATTTATATATATATTTATATACTTAAACGGGTATATAGATATATAATTATATGTATATTTAATTTTAGCTTAAGACACTTGCAAATTAAGTTTATAGTATAGACGCATATATTTTTAATGGGAAACTTATTTCAACTTAGAAAAACCATGTGTTATGTGTGTGTATGCATGAATATCTATTTGTACTATGCCTAAGTCTCATAGCTAAGATCAGAGTATATAAACATTAAGGCAGCGGGCTAAGTCGTAAGTGATTCGAATTGAAAATAATATACAAAATGAGCAACGTGAAGGCCTTTCGAAATATAAATATGTGAATGGAATAGTATTTATGATAAATTTTATAATAAATTGATAAAAATTATATTGATATGTATGTTTTTATCTAAGAACCATAATTCGAGAAGTCGATTTACAAACCTAGCTAGGACACGAACCGAACCGAAGTGGTCTGCTTCTAAAAGGGGTGGCGTACAGAATAGGAAAAACCGCCCTATGCATTCTATTGATAAGGCGCGCATTCACCGACAGCTGGCGACGCGTCTCAGTCGCGTTGGCTTCATTTGTTTATTTCAGTGCTCTTGCTCAGCGTCTTATTGCGCTCTCTCGCTCTCCCTCTCTCGTTTCATAGAGCGCAAGCAGCGCTTGCGCATCAGTTGCTAAACAAATTGCAAGCGCAGCAGAACTCTGTCTGTCTACATGCATACGTGTATGCGAATGCCGAAGTATCTTTTAGGCGCAACGAAATGTGTTGATTATTAACTAAGCTTACTAATGCTATCAAGCATACACGTATACACATGCATACATGTATAAATGCATTGTCATTGCATAGGGATAGCCACATCTTGCATGCTCTCTCTCTGCCGCACCGCTCTCTCACTCTCCCGCTCGCTGCCTCTCCCATTCGCTGCGGCTGCTGCCCAGCTGTCTGGCCGGAGTCTAATTATTATATACATTGGCAGCGCAGTTGCAAAAGTTACGTGAAAACGTAAAGGACAAACGGCGCGCCTTCTTCAGCAACGGCGTGTCTGTGCGTGAATTTGTGTGCGCGCGTGTGTGTGTGTGTGTGCTCGCAGTGTGTTGTGCAAACAGAAAAACAACATCAAGCGATGTGCAGAAACGTGCAAAATATGCTGAGCGCAACCAAAATTGGCGACTGCCACTAACTGAAATACAAATCTCAGCGTAAATCAAACGGAAATCACAGCAACTTATAAAATTTGTGTAAGTTGAGTTCAAAAGTTGAGCCATTATTTTAAAAAATACGGTTGAGTTAAACGTATCCTTAACCTCCAAAAGTCAGAGTGTTAAACAACGGCATTATTGATTAAGACAAAGGAAAAAGTAATTTCCACACACGCACATAGACACATGGATAAAAATATATGCGAGAGACAGACATGTGCGTGCGTTACCGTTAGTTTATCCCGAACGGGGTGGCAATGCAAGTGTTAAAGCTCTACTCTACTATCGTTCAAGCCGTACATTCCATGCCAGCAGGGAAAGCCCCTACCGCCCCCAGTGTAAGCGACAGGGCGAGCGTCATAAATTGTGCGTAAGCCCCACTCACATGTGAGGGCGCGTGTGGAGCTAAAAATATAAGCGTATTACCAGTCGCATGTATAGAACTAACGGGCTCACAGAAAGCCCATTTCATCATTTGGTTATTTGCCTATGAAAGACCCTCCTGCCCCCAGCCAACGGCAAAGTCGAGTGGGCCAACGTGCGAAGCACAGACAACAACAACAACATGGGAGCCTCTTGCCACGCCCCCGCCGCAAGCACGAACGAACCATAGAATATTTATGAAAACAATGCATGCAAGTCAAGAGCTGGTCCGTCCATGAGCCCATTGACATACTAAATGCAGGGGATCAAGTGGCTTGACAAGAAGCTCCCCAACCACACAGCAGAGCCAACAACAACAACAACAACAACTAAATATATAAATAAATATAAATTGAGTAAGCTTTGTATAGGTGCTTGATTTGCTAAGGAAAGTTATAGAAGGAAGGAATGACAATTAGTTAATGATATGCCATATACACATGAAGATATAATATAGAGAATGCTCTCGATATATATTAATATTCCATTAAGAAACTCTATTTGTAGCTTAAATTTTCTCTTATTAAAAGTCTGGAATATCAGCTCTTAAAGGGAGAAGTAATGATATAGCACACATGCATATCTATATCTATTAATACAGATATATGGTGTATATATGCTTAAGGAACAGTAACAGTATTCCATTAGGAAACTTTTGTATCAGATTAAACTTGAAATGTTGCACATTTTCAACTAATTAGCTGTGGGTTTTGATAAGCAATTCTAAAAAAAATACTGGAAATATTTTTTTTTTTTTTTTTTGAGAATATGTATATAAGAACGAACGATTGTATATAGCGTGCTAAAGACATGTTTAATTTCATATCAGCCAGACATAACGCTACCATGCTCAAGCTTAAAATTAAAGTGATAAAGCGAGAAAACTTGTTAGAGCACCAAAACTATCAGACAATAATTAAGGGGGAAGTTTGCAATGTACCTGAATAACAGGCAATATGCGAGTAGCTACAATCAACCACTGAATAGCGTAATCACCCCAATGCACACACACACACACACGCAAACACACACACACACACAGTGCATACTTTATACATTTGCTTTGTATGCAACATGCCAGAAAAGTCCTACTTTTGCAACATGAATGAAAGGCTATAACTACATTTTTTATGAGTTCTGGAGTATAAAGTTGCTTGCCCTCCTCCCTCCCTCTCTCTTTCTCGCTCTCTCGCTCTAGCCGCTGTGGGCATTATTCGTCTTCGTTTGTTTGGCTTGTCAAAACCGTCAAAAACAGCGATAGACAAGCTGCCAGCAACCAGCCAGCCAGCCAGTCATCCAGTCAGTCAGTCAGTCAGTCAGCTCGCGTCCTTTGCTAGCCACTATAAAACTAGCACTCAAGAGACTCGCCACAACAAGCCACACTGCCCTGACATGCACCCCATTGCAACCCCCTAACAGCACATCCCAACCCCAACACAAACACCAACACCAACGAGAAGCCCAGCCCTAGCCCCGATTCCAATTCCGATTCCAATTCCTGGTTGCAGCCGCAGGGCAGAGCGCTGAGCACACTCAGCCGCAAAAGAGTATGCAAAATAGTTTCGTAAATGACGTTTGATAGATGGCTGCATGGCTGAATAGATAACTTCCCGGCCTGGTCTATGGCTCTGATTAGTTCTGCATTCCATTCCATTCCATTCCGTTTCTGAATGCCGTCTAATGAAGCTGCATGGGCTAAGTCCAAGCAAAGCGCTGCTCGACTGTAATTAGTTGCCTACGTGTGTGGGGGTAGGCCGAGTGGGTAGGGGGAGTGGATGGAGGGGCGTAAAAAGCTGGCTTGCTTTGAGTTTATCTGGCTATAGTTTTCTTTTATTGCGCATACGCCCCGTTGTGTTATTGAGCACAGCTCCTCGAGGCAGCTGCTGGAGATGAAAAGAAGGAAATACCTCGCATAGAGAAAATATATATTTTATTAATTAGAATCTCTTAAGAGCCGGTAAATTCCTTCTTCCCGTTAGCTACTTCTGCAGGGGTATTTTTTATGGAGTATTTCATATAAAACAAAGATTTGTCACAGTCTCCCAAACGAAGCGTAAAATGTGCGTACTAAAGCCTTAAATGCGCCATATAAATTGAGAGTTATATATATATTTATATATATTAGAAACATAAATGAAATTTACAATTTATTCTGTAATTTATATAGTGCAAAGTGGAGTACTTTACCAATCCCGGGGGCATGACAACGGCGTGGTCACTACTCCAATTAAAAGCGTAATCATCAAAAGGGTCTCTTAGACGCCCCCCATTGGATGTACATATATGTGTCATAATTTATGCAGATAAAAGGTGACGCAACGTGGCCGCGACTCAATTGCGGTTCGATATAGGGCTAGAGTACGAAGCACAGTTATTCGTGCGAGAGCAGCGGACTAACATAGATCGACGGAACGGAGTACGAACGGACAAACAGAAGCGAGCGCATCGTACAGATCATTAACAAAGGTAATTAGTCGAATGTTGTTGTTGTATGCTATCAAGAGAATTGATCTGCATGTTTAGTCAATATACCATATATAGTATATGTAGATCAAAGAAATGCCTATTAAATTGTTTACAAACATTGCACAGCAACATGGCCCGGTTATCTGGCTGAACCGTTAGCCAACTTTGAGCCTCACACAGTCAGTGAGCGACCCAGCTGTAAGGCGCGAGCTAATTGAGAAATCGACACCTGCGGGAAACATCCGAGAGCTGTGTTCAGAATGCGACGTCCGAAAATTTCGCTGAAAAAATATTTCTACTTTACGCTGATCTGTGCGCTGCTTCTAATCTTTGGGTTCAATCTCAGGTGAGTAAAGCATAATATACATATGTACAGCATTCACGTCAGATGAACACTTATCTTGACGATTTCAGAGAGAAAGAGATATGGAAGTCGGGAATCACGCGACCCGCTCTAACCCCCGCAGCGTCGCCGCTGCACCAACAGCGACGTGAGCTTAATACTAATCAGGTGAAGACTTCGTCTTTGGTGGACGCCACAGTGATATATGCTTCAGCGCCGCCAGCTTCGCCTGAATCCCTGCCCGACCCAACTGAGTCACAGCCGCAGCAGCTGGAGGCCGAGGGCGAGGAGGCAGAGGCAGAGGCGGAGTCCGATACTGCAGCCGATAAGCGCGCTGAGCCAGCGCCCACAGCCAAGCCCTGGTTCTTTCGCAATGGCGAATACTACCCGAGGCCAGCGAAGATCTTCAGCAATCGCAAGGCCCGCAAGCAGCATGCCCCGAAACTATTCCCACACCAGGATCCGCACAACGACCGCGTCATCAATCAGCTGATGTATGTGCCACACAACTACGATCAGATCAAGGCGAGTGGCAAGCTGAAAACCATTCTCCTCTACAACGGACTGGGTCCGTGGAATGTGAAGAAGGGGCGCGAGGTTTTCCTGCGCTCCAAGTGCCCCGTGGACACCTGCGAGCTGACTGCCAATCGAGATCTGGCCAGCGTGGCAGACATGATACTATATAAGGATAACTACATTCCAACGGGCATACGCCGGCCCAGCAATCGCAAGCAGGTGACCATGATGTACTACCTGGAATGTCCCTACCACACACAGAACGTCAAGGTGCCAGACGCCATCAACTGGACGGCCACATACAGGTGGGTTACATAAGAGAAGTCAAGTCGACCTTGACCTTGCTCAAATCCTCTTCACAGACGCGACAGCACTGTGATGGCGCCCTATGAGAAGTGGCAATACTATGATACGAAGCTGCAGCAGCAGGAGCAGGATCACAACTATGCACTGAACAAAACGAAAAAGGTTGCCTGGTTCGTCTCCAATTGCGGAGCACGCAACGGCCGATTGCAGTACGCACACGAGCTCCAAAAGCACATTGAGGTGAGTGTGGGAAAACTGAAAAAAAAAACTCTCTCTCTCTCTCTCTCCTCCCTATCTCTTTTATTCTAATCTAATCCTACCTTACAGGTGGATATCTATGGTGGCTGTGGCAATTTTAAATGCCCACGGAGCACTGCTGACAAGTGCTTCGACATACTGGACAACGATTACAAGTTCTACTTGGCATTCGAGAACTCCAACTGCAAGGACTACATCACAGAGAAGTTCTTTGTGAATGCACTGAATCGCAAGGTGTTGCCGATTGTGATGGGCGCCCGGCCCGAGGATTACGAGGTGAGTGCTCCGCGTCGCTCCTATATACATGTGGACGAGTTTGCCTCGCCCCGAGAGCTGGCCGAGTACCTGCACATACTCGACAAGGACGACGAGCTCTATAACTCGTACTTCAAGTGGAAGGGCACCGGCGAGTTCATCAATACGTACTTCTGGTGCCGCGTCTGCTCCACGCTCCACAACGAGGAACAGTTGCGTAAGTCCACCTGGTACTCGGACATCAACGAATGGTGGCGGGGTCCTGGGGTCTGCACCTCGGGCTCGTGGCGCAACTTCAAGGCGCGCATGGACGTGATTAGCGATGATTGAGGGCATGACGTGGTCCAGATAGTGGACGGCGCAGGTGTCTTTACATAATCAAAATCCCATATGTGTGGCTGGCTATACAGTATATTGTTGTTGTTTTTGTAGGAATCTGTTTGTACTGTATTGTAAGAAACGAAGCATGAAAGAAGACAAGCAGCAAGCATTCCCCTTCGCTTTGAACGAAGAACCGAAACAAATTGGTTTTCTAGCTAGAACTAAGTGCTTCACATAAACATGTTTGTATGTATATGTATTTATATATATATTCATATGCATGAGCAAATCGAAAATCAAACGAGCATGAGGCAAAAGCCTCGGTACAAATCGAGGAATAAACATGTTCCTTCCAGGATTGAGAGAAATCGCTTATGGATAGTCAAATGCAAAAGGACAGAGACAAGCGCATAGAAACTAGCCTATACATAGACTAAAGATCCCGCGAAGATCATTTGTAACATATACAATACGAGGAAAGTAAAAATCCAAAATAAATAAGAGAAATTAGCTTAGTTATACAAATTATATAGTACTCAATGTATATTTCAGTTGTTCAAAGAGCAAGTCCAATTTAGCGCATAGGCCAAAGACGTATGGGACGATACGGACGGACGCACAGACATGCGGACACACGAAATGAATGTTCATTAGCGGTATATATACTATATGCGATATATAGCTTATATACAATATATATGTAGGCCGTAAGTCGGTTGCATACGTATATACCAAATATATAATTATAGACCGTTTTGTAAGCATTTTTGTAAGCAACAAAGTCAAGATCATTTCTTTTTTATATTTTGCGTATTTAGATAGTTTCGATTGCATAGATTTGCTCTTAATTGGATCAGCAGATATCGTAGATAATCATCGCACAACAAACAAGCGCAATACTCAGACTAGTCTGAGCCTTAATCTGTACGTTAGCTTTTAGGCTACAACAACAACAACAACAAACATTCCTATTTTATACACTTGCTGAGAATATTATGTATTTGGTTTCTATTGGCAGCCAGTTCTATATAGCAGATCTCTAGTTTCTTGAGCTGACTTGGTACATATAGCTTATTACCTGTGTTTAGATTGTTTCGCAATATTAGGATATTATCTTAGCCAATGTACTTATGTATACCCTTTCGGTATTATTTATATATATGTATCTATATGTATTTTCAGTAATGTGTATAACTGTTAATTTTAGTTGTGAACTTAATTGAACTGTGTGTGTTTTACAATATTTAGCATTACATATATATATTTATTCGGTAATATTTAATTTATAAGCATTTAATATCATATGTGTATTTTGATTATGTATTTAATTAATTTTTAATTTTTACTGTGATAAAAAAAAAAAAATTAGAAAAGAAAATAAACAATGGCAACAAATACAACAAATGACACTCAATTCTTAATTACTATTTCAAGTACTATTATCAGGTGAATGGATAAACCTATGGCATTCGTGTTCCGAGTATTTTGGATGAGCTTAAAAAGCAAACGTATACATAAAATGTCTTAAATTATCGACGACAGCAATGCAAGCTGTGCACACGTATTGAAACGATACTGAACAAATATTAACGCTCCACTCTTCAAATTTTAGCCTCCCTCATAGCTGGCTTCAGCAGCAGCAGCTGCAGCTCACACATGGCACATTTTTAGCTGCATAAGCAAATCTTTCAAGTTGTTAAGTCTGTCGTGCTTTTTGTTATCTCCAAGCGCCGTTGCTGTCACAATTTTAGTTGTGATTTTGCGCTGCAGTGCAATTGCTTCAACTTTTTTCGATAGCTATTAGAAAGATAAGAAATTATAGTATATCATCAACTGGAAATTAATGCAATAGCTACCTCATAAGCGCGTTTGATAATGCCATGTGGCATGCCCGCCAGCTTGGCTGCATTGAAGCCATACGATTTGGGACAGGCGCCCGCTGTGTATTTGTACAGAAAGGTGACCGTCTCCTGGGTGGGATCTGCATTGTCCTCGTTCTCAACCATGCAGGCCATATGGCCTAGGGTAATGCGCTTATCCATGTGGAAGAAGTCAATCAGATTGTGGTAGTGCGTGGAGAACAAGGTGCGGCACTTCAGATTGGCCAAAAAGTTCACCACAGACGCCGCAATGGCGGTGCCGTCATATGTGGCCGTGCCGCGTCCCAACTCATCGAGCAGTACTAACGAATTCGGTGTAGCGTGCTTAAGTATAAGCGAGGTTTCATTCAGCTCCACGAGGAAGGTGCTGTGGCCAGCCAGGATATCATCCTGAGCGCCCAGCCTAGTGAAAATGCGATCCACAAGCGACAGCCGACAGCTGGCCGCAGGAATGTGAGCACCCTAAGCAAAATATTTGAATTATTCACTGAAGTCAATTCATTCCCAACGGCTACTCACAATTTGTGCCATGATGACCAGCAAGCCGAGCTGCCGCATCAAAGTGCTCTTGCCGCCCATATTTGGGCCAGTGAGCAACGACAGTGGAGCCTCCGTTTCTGTGCCAAGCTGCAGGCCGTTGGGTATATAAGTCGATGGATTGGCGCAAGGATGATAACCCTCCTCCAGTTCAATAAAGGGCTGAGCCTGTCCCGATACGAGCTCTGGCACACAGATGACCAGCTGCTGGCGCGCATATTCCGCCAGACCGGCGAGCACATCCAACGTGGCCACACAGTCGATGCACTGCTTCCACTGTTCGTAGTGATTGGAGAACTTCTCGAAGAGACGACGCGCCAAGTCCTTGAGCACAGCGTTGCGGGCATCTTCGGCCTGCTGCATATCCTTCAGCATCGCCTTGGTCTCCGTAGTGATGTAGCGACGAGCTGGCTTCTTACCCTTCACCTGGCCCTCCAGCGCATACGACTTGTTGGCCTTGTGGGCATGCGTCTCGGGCACCTCCAGCTGGTAGCGCTTCTTGTCGGAGCCAAAGTAAGTAACGCGACAGCCAAAGTGGCGCTCTTGCTCCTTCAAATAGGCCTGCAAACGCTCCTCGACCTCTGCTATGCGCTGCTGCACCTCATCGTAGTCCGCGTCCATGCCAGGCTGGGGTGCAACGACGCCCGCCTTGGCAGCTGCCTCGTGGTCGAAGGCATTCTCAAAGAACTTCAGCTGCTTGCTGAGGTCGGGATAGTTGCCGCCATTGGCTGACAGCTGAGTCAAGCGCCGCAGTAGCGTCGATTCACATCGTTGGAACATCTCTGGCAACTGCATCAATGTCTCAAATCCCTTGAGTATGCTCATAAAACTGCGCAGCTTCTGCTTATTGTAGAGCTTCTCCTCAAAGAGTATAGCCCTGGAGTCAGGATGTTCAGTTTGGCCTATGTATTTGTTGCCAAACAAATGAATCTGAGCCAAATGCCGCTCAAAGTCTGGCATAGGCGCCAGCAAGGCGCGCAGTTGCTGCAGTTCATCCGGCTGGCGTAGCAGCTCGCCAATCGCCTCCTGCCGCTCGCGCAACACAGTCAAATCGCAGCTGGGCGCGCAGAGCCAATGGTGCAGCAGCCGCTTTCCAAACTTGGTGCAGCAGTGGTCCAACGTGGACTGCAACGAGTGCTCCTCGCCAACAATTCGCAAATTGGACAATGTGGTTGCATCCAAGACCATGTGCGAGCGCTGCAGCGGTGTGGAGGTTAATTTTGGCCTCGCCGTCTCTTCCTGCTGTTCATCGGGCGGCACATACAACTGATAGCGCGCCATAGGCAGCACCTTGGGCTCCAGTTTACACTTGGCTATGTAGTGAATGCATTGACCCAAAGCTTTGAGTGCCAATTTATACGGATCTGCAGGAGTGAGACCCAAGTGATCCATGTCCGACTGCATAGTGCGCAAAACCAGCGGCCAGTTGTCCTCGTTGCCAGTGCCAGCATAGTACCGCTCCGCCAGCAGCTTCAGCGTCTTCTCTGCGCTGCAGAGCTGGCTGCCAGCTCCCGGCAGCTGCTCCTTCTGTATGCCGCCCAGAACAGTGCGTAGAATCTGCTGAGTGCGAGAGCTAAGCGCAGCTTTCTCGTGGAGCAACTGAGAGGAGAAATACGGTCAACAATATAGTGCTCACTTGAGAGCATTGGGTGGACTCACCAGCACGGGCATATTGTGGGAGATTAGTGTCAAGAGGCGAGAGCAGCTCTTGTCATCGTCAAATTCGCCCACATGGAAATCACCAATGGAGGTGTCTATGAAGCAAATGCCATATTTGCTGCTGGTGCCTTCATCCTGCTCCACTATGGCTAACATATAGTTGGGCTGATGATTGGGGCCAATGGCGCACTGTGAGCCAAACACTTGAGTGCCTCGATCTGTGATCTGACAGATCTCGCGAGCCACAACCTTGTCGTATTTAGTGGACTTGATGCGTTTGCAACGCTCCGTCATCATGTCCGGTGTCTCCGTTTGCTCCACACGGGCGACCTGCGAAAGGAAGACGCAAATATTATAAGAGCACTCCCATAAGAGTATCCCTACTCACCTTATAGCCCCTGTCTACGAGTATGGAGGACATCTTGTCGAAAGAGATTTCCGGAAAGCCCGAGTGCGCGAATTCGCCGCGCATGTAGGTAAAGCCCAGCTCATTGACACCCACGTCGGCATCGCCATGATACAGCTCATAGAACTTGCCCACCTTGAAGAAGAGCACGCAGTCAAAGTTGTCTGCCTTGAGGACCCACCATTGACGCATGGCCGGCGACAGCGTATTGAGGAACTTCTCGGGCACATGCAATGTGCTCTTGTCGTACTCAGGGTGGTCTGGTCGCCTGCCAGCCTTGTCCTTGATCTTGTCCGGCTGCAAGAAGTCCAGCTTCTGATGTGGCCAGACAGTGGGCTCGTCCAGATTCGATGTGGTGGTCACGATCTCATCGTAAGCGGCATCCTTTTTGGCATTACTTTGCAGCTGCTGCAGTTTTTCCATAAATGTGCCGCCTGCAACCAAGGCGGGCGTCTCTATCTTAGCCTTCTTACTAGCAGGCTCCTCAATGTTATTGTTGTTAAGAAAGTTTTTAGCGGACTTTTTGCGTTGCTTCTTGGGCGTAGGCTCGTCTTCAGTGCCAGGTTCGCTAATATCATCTTCTTCACCGCTGGCGCTCTCCTCGCTGAAGGTAGACTCCTTGGCATCGGGCTGATAGTCTGAGCCATCATCGGAAAAGTCTGGCTCCGATTTCGATTCGTATTCCTCCTCGCTCTCTGATTCCGGTAATACAATGCGCTTACGTTTACCTTTGACAATCTCCTCCTCCTTATCACTGTCTTCCGTTGGCAATTTGCGCCTGGCAACTGGCTTGGATTCTTTTTGCACTTCCTTAAGATTCCCATTCTGCACATTCTCCTTTTGGAGCTCAGCTCCATTGTTCCCATTGCTTGGCGTTAGTTTCTTTTTGTCAACGACTGGAGATTTAGCAAAGTAGTTGAACAGCGTGTTCTTCGGCGTACCACCTGCACTAGTATTTAGCTTCTTCGACATATTTCAATCGCCTCACCCGGCTACCAAATCACGAATACCAAGAAAACAAATGACGCCAAAAATCTGCGCCAAAATTAAGCGGCAAATAATTAGCAGAGCAATAACAGCAGCCTAACAGGGCACAGCTGTTGCTCAGCAAACTGGCTTCTCCACCGTTTGAATTTGCAAATAAACGATAGCAGAGCGCACATATGTTTTTCAATTTTACGTCTTTACATAGCTACACAGAAAAGTGTGGCAACGCTGTATAAATCATATGCACGCTGCAGTTGGCAACGCAGCAAAAGTTTTGTTTACAACGAAAACGTTTAAAATTATTCCGGAAAAGAAACAAATATATAAATATAAATAATGTCGCTAGCTGACGAACTACTCGCAGATTTGGAGGAGGACAATGACAATGATATTGATGATGCCGAAATGGCAGATGCCGACGATGCTGAGCAGGCAGCGCTCAACCCCGAGCTGGCAGAAAAGTTGCTCAAGCCGGCGCCCAATCTCATGGAAGTCGACGTCAAGGTCCAATCTGTGCGAGATCTGTGCAAGCTGCGTGACTCAGATCGTCTGCAGAACACTCTCAAGCAAATCGAGCATTATGCGAGTCGGCAACGCAGCGCTGCCGAAATGTTGGGCAGCGTGGAATCAGATCCGGAATATTGCTTGATTGTGGATGCGAACGCGATTGCTGTAGACATTGACAACGAGATTTCCATAATACACAAGTTCACCAAAGAGAAGTATCAGAAGCGCTTTCCGGAGCTAGACTCGCTCATTGTGGGCGAAATCGAGTACTTGCTGGCTGTCAAGGAGCTGGGCAACGATTTGGATCAAGTCAAGAACAATGAGAAGCTGCAGGCCATACTCACTCAGGCAACAATTATGATTGTCTCTGTGACTGCGTCCACTACGCAGGGGTAAGTTATCATTTATATGACCAATGATCCCATCTAATCTAATACAATCCATTCGCAGCACCATGCTAACCGCCGCTGAGAAGGCGAAGATCGATGAGGCCTGCGAAATGGCGATTGAGCTGAACAATTTCAAATCCAAGATCTATGAATACGTTGAGAGTCGCATGACCTTCATAGCGCCCAACCTGTCCATGATTGTAGGCGCCTCAACAGCTGCCAAATTGTTGGGCATTGCCGGCGGCCTAACCAAGCTCTCCAAAATGCCGGCTTGCAATGTGCAGGTGCTCGGCTCCCAGAAAAAGACCTTGTCGGGCTTCTCACAGACCCAAATGTTGCCACACACGGGCTACGTTTACTACTCACAGATTGTGCAGGATACGGCGCCCGATCTGCGACGCAAAGCGGCGAGGCTTGTGGCTGCCAAGTCGGTGCTGGCGGCACGTGTGGATGCGTGTCATGAGAGCGTTCACGGCGAGATTGGCCTGAAGTTTAAGGAGGACATTGAGAAGAAACTGGACAAGCTGCAGGAGCCGCCGCCGGTGAAGTTCATCAAGCCGTTGCCAAAGCCCATCGAGGGCAGCAAGAAGAAGCGAGGTGGCAAACGCGTGCGCAAGATGAAGGAACGATACGCGCTGACCGAGTTCCGCAAGCAGGCAAATCGCATGAACTTTGGCGATGTGCGTATACTGAGTATGCTATATATTTACATATGTATTAAATATATCCAAACTTTGCATTCAGATCGAGGAGGACGCCTATCAGGGAGATCTGGGCTACTCGCGCGGCACCATTGGCAAGACCGGCACTGGTCGCATTCGCTTGCCCCAGCTGGATGAGAAGACAAAGGTGCGCATTAGCAAGACCCTGCAGAAGAATCTGCAGAAACAACAGGTCTACGGAGGCAACACAACCGTGAAGCGCCAAATCTCAGGCACAGCCTCCAGTGTCGCATTTACCCCGTTGCAGGGTCTGGAAATTGTAAATCCACAAGCGGCCGAGAGATCGCACACAGAAGCCAAGTACTTCTCGAATACATCCGGTTTTCTGTCTGTGGGCAAGCGAACCACTTAAAACAACTACAATATAACAATATAAAACATATGTAAAATTATAAAATTATGCACTTTTATTTAGCGAATTGTCGGCATTGTAAGAGACTCGAAGCGACACGGAATGAGTTAGGCCTAATAAAGCTGCTGAGATTCCTGGAATAGTCCTCAACTAGATAGTTGCGTTAACTAAGTTTGCCCACCTCCAGTTTGCGTTGTATAGCTTCCAGTGAGTTGTTTAGCACAACAGCCAAGATGCCCGCCACGGTGAAGACGCCGCCAATGATCGAGCAACAGTTGGTGGCAAAGTGGCCAAAGGAACTGGGGATCAATAATAATTGAAATCACAATTTATTAAATGCAAGCCTGATCAGCTACTTACACATGCCTCTCGGCATATTTGACCATCAGTGGAGACAGTTCATAGCTAAAGAAAATACCGGGCATGCCCCGTTCCCTATCTGTGAGATCCTTGCGATGCCTCGTAACGGAAAACTGATTTGTATATATGGGTTTACCATCACTGTGGCGTTCATAAAGCGTCGGCACAATTTTCAAGTAATAATTAAACATTTCACTCTTCGATTCTGGAAATAAAAATACCACAGATTAATCAATTAATTTAATTAAATTTAAATTATAATTCCTATAGCTATCACTAAACTAACTAAATCCATTGAGTGTCATTCCTCTACAACACACAAGCGCCATCTACATATTGAATTATCATTGGAGCAAGCTCTATACCTTAGCGCCAACTGGCGGCTAAAATTGAAGTTTTCTAACGCAGGGCTGCTTTGGCACACATGTTGGCTTTCTGACAGCTACAAATCAGCCAACATACAAATTGATGTTTTTGAGTCGGCGACGACAAAAATATACAAATTCTAGTTTTTTAGGCAATTTGGATAACTGACGCCTAAGAAGCAAATATTCACATCGTAGCAAAAGTTATACTTTTGCTTACATTCATACAACCTTAACAAATACAACGCAACAAAGGCCAAATGCCGTTGCCTAGCGGATCCTTCTCCGCCACCCAAGGTGGGCCCACATGCTTTGATAAGATGAAGACTGGCTTCACCATTGGCTTCTGCGTGGGCATGGCCAGTGGTGCACTATTTGGTGGCTTCTCCGCGCTCAGGTAAGACTGATTGAGATTACATTCCGGCAGCTTCCGTCGCGTGACGCAAGCGCCTGGCACGCATTATGTAATTACCGGTAAAATGAATGAAACAAACTTTTTTTTTAGATACGGACTGCGTGGTCGCGAGCTGATTAACAACGTTGGCAAGGTGATGATACAAGGCGGCGGCACTTTTGGTACATTCATGGCCATAGGCACCGGCATACGCTGTTGATATACACACATATATCGTTCTCCCCTCAACTGGATTGCATTTCGATTATGTTTATTAGATTATACCCAGCCTCCTCCCACTCTCCCCCCGTTCCCTGTATAGCTAAGGCTAAGTTTCTAAGTTACCTACGAATGCAAAATGCTTTACAAAATTATGATATGTATAAGTATTTGCAATAGACACGTTGTTAAGCCAAATATGAACTTTGTACTACTTACCTTCAACATCGACGCGCAGCCCGTCCAGCGGATGTGTCTTGGCGAACTCAATCTTCTCGCCGAACGACAAGTGATTAATGGTGTGCGAGAGCTTCACATTTGTAAACTGGAAGTCGTGTATGTGGAACTGGCGTATGGAGAAGCTCTTGCCGGGCGCAAAGTGAAAGCTGCCAGCCATCTAAACGAGACAATATATATATTAGCTGAGATCTAGCTAAGCTCTGATTGTGCAGCTTACCCGGTTCACCTCCAGATGGCCCTGTATGCGGCAGCCCTCCTTGAAGGCGTCCTCGTCGGTGCGCTTGTATTTGCCTTTGCACTGCTCGATCTTGTCCACTTGCATGTTCCATTTGCGTATGCGGTACGCATCCAGGACATCCTCACAGGTATTGCAGCAGCTGTTAGAGCAGTTTACCAATTGTCAGAGTTCTTTATAATTTTGTAATTAGACGAACTCACTGAGTTGAATTGTGCTCAGCGCCGTAGCAGCTGCCACAGGTGCTGTTCTTATTTGGCGGCGAGACGGCAACAATTTCTTTGATGGGCGTCTCCTTTAGTGGGTTTCCGTCCAGATCCAAGCGGTGCTTAAACACGTCGTGATCCACGCGCAAGTGTGTGTCACCCGAGGAGTCCATCGCATCCAGCGATATATAATTGCAGGCCAAATTGTGAAGCGTGACGTCCAAATTGATGCGAAGCTTGTGACCACGCGTCGTGTCCACGAATAGCTCCTCAGTCAGCGTAGGCCGCATGTAGTTCAGGCACTCCAGAAAGATGAGCAGGCTTATAATACTACTACTAATAATAGTCACTACACAAAGAAAATAGTGCAACGATAGATAATTTGTTTATTTACACAACACGAAACTTACCGGCGGCGCCGCCCACTGTGCGTACGCTGAAATCATCCAGGGTGCGTGGATACGCATCCAGACGACGTAAGACATCAGCGAATTTCATATTGTATACACAGAACAAACTATAGCACGGGAAATTTTAGTAAAAACAGAATTTACATGTTTTGTTTCAAAAGACGAGCGATTGGCTAAGTGACGTGGTTGGTAAACAGCTGAAAGCAACAAAAGAAAAACAAGTCGCCAAGTTGCCACCCAATTGTAAGAGCTGCCACATCGCTGGAAACTAGTTGTTTGTACAAGTTTTCCATAGGCTATTTTAAATATTTAACTACGGGGCAAGGCTAACACTAAAATTGCTTAAGAGTTGCGCGCAATTTTTTAAAAATTGCTGGGCTACTTACATAGTGAAAGAAATAATAATTGGGAACAATATAATTTTGAAATCAATTAGCAAAAATATAATTTTGTATATCATTTTCAATGTGTAGTTAAATGGATATGCAGCAAATAAATATACAAAAATTGTATAAAACAAAACTATTATTATTAGATTCACCTTACACATATTTGCGAGGAACTACCGACTTTTACCACTTTGGTTAGTCATAAATAAAGGTGATTAAATGGCTTTAAGTGCATTTCGTTAATGACATGTGGCGGGACAAGTGCTTCTGTTCCTCCGTCTTCTGCGCTTAATTAACAAAACACCCCGGCGACCCATGAAGTTACCCGCTCCATATGTCCGTGGCACAGGGACATATTGTTTAATAGTGTTGTCATGTCTTGAGGCTGTGGTTGCGCATACATTAGGCAGCCTCAGCTCACCACGCCCACTTGGGCGCTGGTGTGGTCTAGCAGACCGCGTCTAATTTTATAATACATGTTAAACAGATGAAAGGTTAATTGAAGGGAACCACAAGCATCGACAGGCCACGCAGCGCTTAGCTTTTAAGGGTTGCTGCTATTGTTGTTGCCCTAGCCACGACGATAAACAACAACAACAACTACACGGAGAGAGGGAGCCTAATCGGGCAGCAGCCAAGGGATTTTGGTTAAAGTTAAAAGTTTGTGCTTAAATATAAATCAGCAAATGGCTTGCCGGCTGACTGAAGCGACGGCAGAAACCCTATATGAGGCCGGCGCGACGCGTCGGAGAAGGAGCGAGAGTCGATCCCAAGATGCGGATACGCGTATACCGCGAATTTATGTAATTAGCAATTAAGCTGAAAGTCCGTTGATGCTGCGTTGGACCCGCGATTCCTTTGTCCCCAATTGAGATGAGTGAAACTTAAAAGCTTTTTCCATTTACTTTATCCAGTAATCCAAAATCAGGCACGGCACCAGATGACAAAGATTAGCTACGTGCAATTTTTCTTATTTTTGTCGAGCTGAAATGAAGGTAGAGTATCGAGAGAGTGGGAGAGTGGGTGAGTGGTTAGACTAGAGACACTACGTTGGTCTGTGGAAGTAGACCTTAGAGGATGCAATCATGGTGAAATCACCCGTATATAATCATTGCTAGATATTGAAATGTGTTGTAAAAGTAACAAAGTTAATTGCTGTCCGTCTCTTCCTCGCTCCTTCTGTCAATCCCACAGTTTCTCCCCCTCTCACACACACTTTCTCTTGGTCTATTCAAAAATATTTGGCTTTCATCTCTTCCATCATACTTGTTCTTTCTTTAATCTATTTGTCTAGTCCAACCCCAATATCAGCTCAACTCAAATATATTACACTTGTCTCTGTGGGTCAGACGTAGTAGAGTATTTGGGCTTTGTCATGCTGCCAGACTCCCTGCTCAGGCTGCCCGGCTCAAATAGCTGCTTATCTGCCGTGCTATCGCTAGCCGCACTAATTTGCATTTCTAACCATTTCGTTCTAACCAATTCGCGTCGTTTCTCATTTGAAACAATGAACCCAAGTACAACGAGAGTCATTGTGCTCTGGACAATAAAAGCCAAGAGACTCGGACAAAAAGAAAGAATGAGCAGGAGAGAGGAGAGAGAGAGAGAGAGAGAGAGTGGAAGAGCGAGATGGAGTGCAAGAAACTTGGCAACTGTAAAGCAGAAAAGAACTTGGCGTAAAGCAGCTTAAGCAATCAGGACCGCCTAATGGATATTGACACTTTAATGCCCAGGCCCACATAGACGGCGGCGACTCGACTCGACCGACTCCTCCACAGCAACCCGTGTGCAGTTCTCGTCCTGCGATTTGCCTCAGCTTCGCTGCTGCTTCTTCTTCTTCGCTGTTTTTTTTTTTTTTTCTCTCTTTGGCCTGCTCGGTGTTTTATGCGGCATTTTGTTCTTTAAACAAAAATTGCAGTGCCGAAATTAATTATAGAGCCGCTTGGCCATATTTAATTAAATGTGGACATTTTAAACTTGCCTCCACTCATTCGCTCTCCCTCTCCCTGACACCCTCTCTCTCACTCTCTCTCTCTCATCCTCTCTGTCTCTCTTGCGAAAAGGCGTAATTAATTAGTGGAGACGTGCCAAATAATTGCGGTAAAAGTAACTTTTCTTTCTGGCTAGATTTCTTTATTTATTCTTTTTCTTCGGTCAAGGAATGTTTCAATTACGTGTATTACACGGCAAATGGCAGAAGGGGGTAAGCGCATTTGGGGGGAGAGAGGAGAGTGAGGCAGGGCCTGCCAAAGTTTCTGCCATTTCGCTCAGGTGGAAATTAATTAAATTAGCAGGCGTCACTTGAGCGCGCAATTAAGCAAAGTGTCATGCCGAGCACTTGAAATATTTAGCCCAAAAATGGCAAACGCACTGAACATTTGCCAACTCTAACCACTTCCTCATACATTTTTGCATATTTCTATGCACGTGTGTGTGTGTGTGTGTGTGTGTGTGTGTGTGCGTGTGTGTGGGAGTGTGGCACTCACTTCCGCACTAAAAGCCCAAAACGTCATTTCCGACAAATTAGCCCAGTCGACCGACAACGTAATATCGCACTGAACTGTACTCGCCTAGCTCCACATCTCCACTCTGCCCCGCTCTGCTCTGCACTGCTCTGCACTGTGCAATTTGTATTTTGTATCTGTATTTCGTATTTTAACTGCCAGCAGCGACTAACAACCGACACGGCCGCATTTTGAGCATATTTCCTGTGTTAGACGAAAAATGCGCCCGTTAGCCGTTAGCTATGGCCAGTACTACAATATTGGCCAAAATACGCTGGGCCACCCACAAAAATTTCAACGTCGCTTACGTAAATCGAAAGGTGAATTCAATTTATGCCCGCTGCAGCTGCGTTTGCTAACAATTTCAGCCAATAAGATATATTGCATTTGCAGGAAACTATTGTCACAAAATGCTAAAATCAAACAATATATTGTTAGCCAAGCTAGTTGTTAAATAAGCTGAAAAGTTTGGAAAACTGATTTGCCTTAAAAGGGGAATATGTTGAGCGACTAGCTATAAATTATAAATGCTCTAAGCATAGACATACTAATAGATATATTTCGCTTAATTAAATATTTTTTCCAGTTCATAACTCAAATACTCGTAATACTTAATGCCAAGTTAAGAAAGTATTCTTCATCTCAGTCCAAAATATTAAGGCAATTTTGATTACCTCTGAAAATTCAAGACCCTTTTCATTTTTATTGTGCACTCACTCATAAAAATTATAAATTCACACATAAGTGATATCTACCCAGATCATGTTATAGACCCATTTCATGTTTACGAGCCAAGAACATTCATTAATATTTGACTCGCGACCCGACTTCAGTTTAAGTTTCGTACCCCAGTCTCTTATCCTAGGTAAATGATCGTTCGTCCCTCTGGCTGTTTCCTTGCTATCTCCTCTGGCAATCTGAACTTAAATTGAAGCTTTTCCCACCTTTTTGCCCACCTTGCCGATTGACATGTCGCGAGGTGTTGCCCATCGGATGCAGCGCGTAAAGTTCCTATTAATTGCATCACATTTCTTGTCGCATTATTAATTGTCAACGCGCATTAATTGCATTTGTAATGCGTCATAATTACTGCAAATTATCTGCTCACGCCAAGAGGAACAAGCTTAGGTGTGTTTCCTCTCTATGAATGTGTGTGTGCGTGTGTGTGTGTGTGTGTACTTCCTTACAGATCAGAATTGTGAGGGTACCATTAA